CCCTCACTGGGTAAAGTTAGTCCTCCACAGCTTCACAGTTATCTTTTTTTTTTTCTGGAACAGAAGAGTGCTTTCCATTGTTCCATTGTTTGTACAGGTATCAGCCATGCTAAGAAATAATTGTGAAGGAGCTTGTAAGTCATGTGAATATAACTGGTTTTTTTCAATGTGATCATACACTTACGGTTTTCAAATTTGTTAATTTTGTAAACAGATTCAACAATGGATGGATGATTAAGATTGGAAGGGGTCTTGACTATTTTAAGAAACCAGAGGTAAAAATACTTTGACCTCTTTAATTAACTAACACTGTAGAATAGCTTCTTCTGTGTTACCCATGTCAATTCTGTCAATTTTTGTAGGGCCGCTTCAGCATTGGATACTGTGACTTTGACTTGCGGCCTTGTCATGAAACTACAGTGGACGTCTTTCATACTAAACATACAAAGAAAATGTGACAGCTGCTTTTAGTGAATGTTTTTATAAGCATAAAACTGTAATCATGACTGGAAGATACCACTTGGGTCCAGCTGTCCACCACCAGAAGCAAATCCATAATAGGTATTTTGTCCAGCACTCCTTTTTTAATCTATAGGATTAAGAATATTTGTGCCTTTCCACTCTGAGAAAACAAAATCATGCAGTTCTCCCACTGTGCTTATTTATTCTGTAATATTAAGGAATACAAGCAATGTCTAAATTTGAGCTTACGGAGTAGGGGTTTATACTATACCTCAGTACGGGCTCTCAAAGGCCTCTTTACTGTCATTTCTAGTTTTACTATTAATTTTCTTTGTCTTGAGCAAATTTTGGGGTTTGTATCTTTAATTGACCACCTCGCAAACTTTTGTGGCTGAGGCACCGCTTCAACCCACATGTTCTCTTTGATAAGCAGCCCATGTATTTCATCTGGGTCTTGTATTCTAGTCAAGACAACTTTTCTGCTGTGTTTTAATCAATCCCTTAATAACTGACTTCACAGACTACAAGTAACCCCAAATGTAGCATTCCATTCTCTAAGCTCCTTGCATGCAAACATTGTAGAGTTTGGTACCTGGACATTTTAGAGTTTTCTTGTACATTTCTCTGAATAATGGATTTGGGGCTTGAAAAGATGCAAGCAAGATTCTAGCTGTATTCTTCTCACTATTATTCATATGTGTGCTTGTATTCCCTGGTGCATTTCCATCGTTTGCATTAAGCTTGGAAAGGCGTATGGTCCTCTCCAAATCTTCCTCTCATTTTAATGTCCGTCCTCTTATTGCAGTCTGAACTGTAAGTAGCCCTGCTACTTAGTCCCCTAAAAAAAGTAAAAACTAATTTTTAAATTCTTCTAGAAGTTGGAAACCCAAAACTTCGTTGTTAATGTCGATCCTAAGGGGTATGCTAATTGAAAAAAATGACAAAAAAACTTTTCCGTCTTCCCTTCATCCTCTGGAAACTGCAAATTATCACCTGAGCTGCTGCTGCTTTTTCTCCTAAAACAAGATTATTTTTTTTAACCATTGCCAGAAAAATTGCGCATTCTGACATGCAGAACAGGCAGTGGCCTCTTTTGCAAGTCCCATAAGGAATTTTCAACCTCAGGACTGACAGGTGCCTTATGCTTTCTATGCCTTGTAATACAACATGTTTCTCTAGTTTTAAGCCCCTGGGCTGTGGTCCTGTACCAGTGCCACAAGAGGCAGCCCTGTCTTCCTTCTCTTGCACATTGCTAGAAACTTTTTAGAAGTTTCTTTTTCCTGATGGCTCATGTATTCCATTATCCTTTTCTCTCTCTCTTTTTTTTTTTTTTTTAATTTGCTTTATTCCTCTTTTACCTTCTGTCATCGAATGCTGCTATTCTTTTAGTCTTAACTCTGATGCAACATATCTATTCCACAGCTGTCAACAGCTGCTCTTCGCCTTGTTTTCTGGGTGACAAGTTGCCTTCTTTATTTGCATAATAATGTCTCAGCTTTTCAGTGTTAAATCAGAAAAAGAGTAACTTGTGCCACAGAAGTTGTATGCTATCAGTTGGTCTCCCTAAACATTCCATAGAAGCTCCCCGTCTTCCTGCTGTGAAAATGTGTCTGGTCACTGTCATCAATTTTATTCAGTTGTGTGTAATATATGCCAATTTTTAATGTGAATAAAGGTTATTTTTTATGATTTGTAATTTTAGTCATCTGTTTAAATTCTTTTCTGTACTACGTAGGGCAACTCCAAGACGTTTGCTTTCTGTGTCTTATAATACAACATGCTTCTCTGTTCCACTAGTAAGCCCCAATGATTTGGTCTGGTACCAATACCACAAGAGGCAACCCTGGTTTTCCCTCTCTTCATTGTAGAACTTTTTCTGTGTTTTCTAATTGTGAAATCAGAAGCTAAGGCTAATGATTTCCTTCCACTTCTTGTGGATATGAAGCATTTACATACGTACAACTAAGCCTTCAGTGACATACTAGTTGGCAGCGTGCTGCAATTTTTACTTGCAAGTCCTTTATCCCTGCATAGTTCCTTTCATTGTCAGTAGGAACAATGCCAGAAGAGGAATGGGCATCAGAAAATGGAAAATAAAAATCAGTTGTCCTCTTCAGCATTTATGTTATCTGAGCAATATAAGAGCACAAGTTTTGCAATCATTTTACTTATTTCAGGGACTCCAGCATATTGTTGCATGAGATGATCTTGGAAGTCTTTTCCGACCTTAATGATTCCATGATTTCTCTCCTAAAACATGAGTATTTAAGTAAACAAGAGTTTCTGGACCAAGAATAATCCCTCTGAACAGTTTTATTTTGAATTTAATTTAGACAAAACTGTGTACTTGAGTAGCACCTTGGAGTACAGAGTGCCTAATGTACCCTAATTTCAGTGGCATGCATTTTTTTGATTGGCACAAGGAGGCACCCAAAAGAAAAACAATCCCAAACCACAGATTTGAGACGCTCTCTGGGAAAAAAGCAAATGATTAAGCATTTTAAAGGATAGTTAGAAAAATACCTGATTCCTGCTAACCCTTTGTTCCCCTAAGAATCGCTACAGGAGGAAGAAGAGTCCAAGGAGGGTATTTGTGTTTTCCCTTGCTCTCCCCCTGTAATACTGGCGGATCCATAAGCGTCACTGGATTATCAGGACGTGCCAAATTTTTCTGCAGTCGCAGGTCAGAGGGGACCTGTGATACAAGCACCTTAACAGCAGCTGCCAGGGCCAGGATGTTCACACCCCGTGGACTCCTGGAGATACAAGATAGCCAAAGAATTTCCAAACATGAGAGGAACCTCAGAAATTTAGAGAATTGTGAACTGTTACCAATTGTTATAATCCAAGTTAGGCTGATATAGACCAGCTTGTGAGTTGTTAAGCCTCATGAAATCAGACAGTGATTAATAGGGAAAGCTGGCTGGCCTTCCAAGGAACAATACTGAACTTAGGTCAGCTGCAAATCATCTTCAGGTGACACAGCCAGTCTGCCCAGGAAAAACAGACTGGGCCAAAATACGTAACTGTAATAAACAGAGTATGGGGGAGTCCCTTCCAGGCTGCTTGGACTACCCCAAGGAAGTTTTTCACTGGCATACTGGCATAGACAACACTGCTGAAAAAGCTCCAGAGGCTGTGGCAGCTGCCTTCGTTGTAGGCTTTCAGCCAAAAATTCAAGAGCAATTATGATTTGTTGCTGTTGTGTGGCAGACTAAACCTCTTAACTGAAGGAGTTACCCTTGCTAATCTCTGCAGTGCATGTCAGGAGAGAGAGACAGTGACACTAAATTCATGGCACTGCAAATTCAACATTTTGCTCCTGGAAATGCCAGCAGAAATATAGGAGCTAGAAGAAACTGAGGCAGGAGAAGAAGAGGAATAGAAAAGACTCGTCCTCCATGCCACAGTCTCAGAAATGTAATTAGGACATCCCGTAGGACATAAACATCATTGCTCCTTTACTTTCTTTAGACCAGATTCGTCTTTTTTTATCTTGCCCTCTTAATGTCAAGATTGCTTCTCGCCTACTTGACACTGGTGCTCCTCGATCCAATTTATGTGCTCTGATTTTCCTGTAGCCCCACTTCTGATGACCATGCTTTCAAGCCTTGCTGCCCCTCTTAACCTAGAAAAAGACTTATGAAAATTGCTTGTACTACATACTGTGCCCCGGTTGGAATCTACTTTGATGTGCCTGCACCTAAACAGGGCAAATTTACAGCTCTTCTTGCTGAGCCTCCCATTTACAATTTAAGTACTCCTCAAGGGTAATTCGGTGGAGTCATATAGCCTGGAAGTACATAAACTCTGTAACAGCCTCATTTGGGCAGTGTTCCCGTCAGCAGAGACTGTCACGCGGCTGCACTGTGTTCTCTCCTATAGCCACGGCAATAAACTGCTCCCATTCTGACCTAGTCAAAATGGCATTCAGGTTATTCTGCAACAACAGTGAAATAAATCTTCAGCCTTTCTTTCATGATACTTTGGTATTGAGCTGTTATTATGATTTAACATGAAAACTGTCACTTTCAGTTCACTATTGCCTTCCAGTGGCAAGTTTTCTGCTAGTAACATGAGGAAGCTCTTCCTCCATCTGTATTCCCCCTTTTGGCTTACACACCAGTGCTTACAGCAGCAGCGACTCCCATCATTGTGCCTGGTAGGAAGGAGGCACGTGGAAGGCACTGAGACATGGCCTTTGAGCTGCTATCTGCAGGGAAGGAGATAAAGACTAAGAAGCCAATGCATGAGCACAGCATCAGTTTTCCATCCACCCCATCTGGTCTCTGTCAGCCAATTTGTACCGTCTTTGCCACAGAAGCAGTGTGGGATGCCTGCACCATTCTCCCTGGTTTAAGCAGCAATGATGTCTGTCAGCATGGGGCAATAAAGGGCTGCTGCCTCTTTCAGTGGCTTACATCTTACAACTTGGGAACCTTTAATACAGGCAGAGTGAAATCTAATTGCCAGTAGGTAGTATTTAGCAAAAGCACAAGATGAAACAGTTTTGATAGCTAATAAAGAAGAGTAAAAGCTTGTAGAAATTAACCCTTTAATTCTGTTTTCAATAAATTAGCAGCAGAGGTTTAATTAATAATTTCAAAATGCGAGTCACATTAACATTGTCATATTCTCACATAACAGATTCCACTTGCTGTGCAACTCGTCATCTTGTGGACACATTCTTAGTAATGTGCTTGATAATGCAGTGGTTTCGGTTGGGCAAAACTTACTGCCAGAAAGGCTCTTCACCAGTTCACTGCACAGGGCTGGTGGCAGCCACTGCTCCGGCAGATCAATGTTACAGGCTTCAATTCTTCCATGCTTTACATCCATATCTACTTTAACATCAAGAACAGAATCCTTATAGACCATGTTAAAACACGTACTAACGCTGAACTTTGGTGTCTTCCCATAAATCCATTCCCAGGTTTGTAGTTCTTTAGATTTATTATTAATTCCAGGAAGCACAGTCTCATCAGTTGGGTTTATTAAGGTGATATGATGATCTATTTGGTGTTGCATAGCATATTCTTCAGCAATGGCATCCAGTAGCATCTCACAAGTTAAACTAGGATCCTCTTCGAAGAGATTTTTCACTGATGCAGGCACACTGGGAGTGGCATTGCTTTTTAGTCCTTTATAAGGGCTCTTTAGCACATCAGATAAAACAAACTTATCTGCATTACAGAGTAAGGTACAGTGGTGATAAGCGGTTGTCCTTCCCAGCTTTGCAGCAGTACCTGAGATTTTGTATTGCCTATCTAGCAAGATGTCATACCTGTCAGTGACATGGATATTTAACTGTGGCCGCAAGGCTTTCAGTGCCTTCACAACTAGCTTCAAGTTTTCCATTCGTTCATATTTTTTCCTCGTTGTGAAGAAAGTCAAATTGATATTGCCTAAGTCATGGTAAACTGTCCCTCCTCCACTTCTCCTCCGGGCTAATTTTATATTTTTTTGCCTCATTAGCTTGAGATTGCATTCCTGCCAGGGATTCTGATGTCTCCCTATTACCACAGCTGGGGAATTTCTCCACAGGAAGAGGACCTGCCGGTTCTCTAAATTCATGTGGTCATGGATCCAGTCTTCCACTGCTAGATTGTGGTAAACATCATTAGAAAGAGACTGGATAATGAGTCCTCCACTAGCTGCGTCTCTGAAGCCAGCTTTTGGAGTCCTGAGGATGCAGGATAACTGTAGGCAGTTCTTGAATGATGACTGAAGTACCATGTTTTTAATAATGAGATAGGAGATGAAAAGAATATGTGGCCTGGTAAAGATGAAGATGGCAAGCACACAATCCGCTGTTGTGACAGCAAGGAACTGCTAACTGCAGTCATGCTCTTCCCAAAGTAGAAATGATCTCAAACTGCTGAGTTACAAGGCAGCCTTCTTCTCCAGAGGCTGACGATGCTGTTCCATCCCTGCCATGTGCTTCACACAAAAGCTGGGGCTGTCCGAGGAGCGTTTCCTTGCAGTTGGTCACCTCTAGCGCCTGAAAGACCAAGGGAACAGGTTGGAAGCAAGCTGTATTTTCTCCCTCAATACATTCTCGCTTGTGTTTTGCTAAACTGAGCTGTAGCACTCCAGCTTTATGAATACCTTTTCACCGATAAGAGCACCACACGAGTGCACTGACTCCGTGAGGAGAAAGGTCAGGGAACCCCTCAGCCCCGCGCCCCCCAGCCGCCATCTTATAAACCCCCCGTCGCCATCTTCTCCCCCCTCCCACCTCACCGGCCGGCTCCACGCTGCTCCTGGCGGGGCGGGGAGAGAACGGGGGCGCCGTTAAAGCCGTTTAAAATCGTTAAAGCCGCTGGCGGCCCCGCAGCGCCCTCCTCAGCGCCTTCCGCTTCCCGGGTTAGAGGTGCTGGAGCGTGCGCCGCCGGCAGGGGCGGTCTGGGCTAAAGCCCTGCTTTAAACCAACAAGCAGCCCCAGTGGGGGAATGTGGTAAAGGTTTGTACGTGTGTACATGGTATTGAACGGAACGGGCCAGTGCTGATCGTCGCTCGGACCGTGACAGCTAAATTCACAACATATAAACAACATATAAAAGTGGATGGCTTGTGCAAGACCAGTCTGTGCAATTAATTCCTCGCCACGGGATGTTCTGGATGCTAGAAGCGTTCACGACTTCACAGGGAGACTGAACAAGTAAAGACCAATGCACAGAGGCTTAGCAAATTCAGAGAAAATATCCACAGTGTTCATGAAGATACAGAGCCTAAATGCTGGTGGCGTAATTGATAGCAAGTTGGAAATGATCAAAGGCTAGATAATTACAGACTGTATGCACCAGATTGTCTTCGTATTTGTACTGATTAGGGCAGTTCTTAAAGTCTGCAAGACCTAAGCCATAATTCTACAAGGCCTATCATCTGTATTTAAATTGAGACTTGGGGGGCAATGCTCGGACCTGAAAGTTTAAGTTTTATCCTCAGTGGTACCCATATCTCTTGCCAATGTACATGTATTCATGAAGGATACCTTACATGCTTTCTCTCTCATTCCTCAGTAATAGAACTCCCAAGATATGAAGGAATTGTAGACAAAAAGGTGGAAGAGTGGGTTGTGAGAAATCACAAATGTAGGCTATTCCTTTTGAAGAAGAACAGTGACAAGTAGGATTCTTTTTTTTCTTTCTTGTTCTAGAATTAAGTGACTTGGAAAGAAACACCAAACTGATATCCTTATTCAGATGAAACGAATCATTCGAGGAAGCAAATTGGGGTTGGGAATGTAATTCCCAGATTTCTGTATGTTCACTTTACCAATAAAATTGTTCATTGTGGGACCTGAATCAACTTCTTCTGAGTGAAGAAACAATCCTAGGACACCTACATTCCTTGAAATGTGAAGGAGGAGAAAAAAGGCAGATAAAGGGTGAAAGATTAAAAATGTGAGCTTGGGGTTGTTTCCCGCTGAAGAACTGGAGCATTCACAGCAGGAACATAACTTACAAAACCCTTAAAAGAAATGTGTGGGTGTAGTAGGGCAAGTGAACAGAAAGAAACTGCTACCACATGAGAGAGAGACTAAAAGGAGCCTGATGTGACATGCACCCCAGCACTTGGCATATTGCGTTATCACATTAAAAAACAAGTTGGTAATTATTCTGAACAGTTTGAAGTGGGCATAACTTGTTGCTAAATTAGACTGGTGATAGCTCAGCTTGGCACCGGGGTGGACTGTTCCCTTAATCCGTAGCATAAAAAGCACATGGACTTCATCCATAAAACCGTGTTGATTTAGAGTTCCAAATATTAGTTGGTATAATGCAAAGGTGAACTCGAGCCCTTGAACGCTGGTCGGAGGAAGTGAAACGAATCCTTTGGGATTTCTTATGTTACTGAAAGAAAAAATATGCGGGAGGATTTGTTTCCATTTTATAGCATTTATAGTATTTAGCCCTCAGAAATTTGTGTTGCGTCGCTTCCACGTTTTGCCACGGGGTGTCAGTAAAAACATACCGTCAGATGTTGGACGCCTTGCTTTTCAGGGTGAAAGCAGCCTAAGGCAACTTTTTTTAATTTTAATTTTTATTTTTTTAGCTAGAACCAGAATTTGCTAAAAATGCTGTGTGCAGAACAATAGGTGGACAGTTAAAAATGCCTTGGGGGTGTTTCTCATGTGCTGATGAGTAAAATACATAGTCAAGGAGAAGTACTTGTCCTGAAAAGTGGCTATTGCTGAGGGCAAACCCAGCAAGATAATTCGAAATATTGTCAATATGCAAAAAGCATGAATTTATAAACTGAATTTATAAGAGCATGAATTTACAGACTGGATTATATTGCATTATAAACCAGAATGTGCATTCACCCCTTGACAGGATCCAGCAACAGCTGCTTAGTGACACTTCTCCAGTTTTTTTTATTATTATTATTTTTAATTTCTAATCTCTTGCTTGTTTTTGCCTCTAGTGTTTCAGCCCTGAGACCTGTGAGGATTTTGGAAGCGGCATTAAGGAGCAGAGGAGCCGCGACGGGGGAGGCAGCGGCGGCGTGAGGCGGGCAGCACGCGGGCCGTTGCCCGGCGCCCAAGGGACGCGCGGGGCGCAGCCGTTGGGGCGTGGCGGGCCCGGCCCGGGCAGCAGGGCGGGGGGAGCCAGGAGGGGAGCGCAGCGGGGTGAGCAACCGGGACGGGACGGGGGGCGACCGGATTAGGGGCCGTTTAAACTAGCTGGGTGTGGTCTAGTCCGTGGGATCTGACTGAATGCAGGGTGCTGGTCGGTGCTCGGCTGAACATGAGCCAGCAGTGTGCCCAGGTGGACAAGAGGGCCAGCAGCATCCTGGCTTGTGTCAGTGCAGCCAGCAGGAGCAAGGAGGTGATCGTCCCCCTGTGTTCTGCTCTGGTGAGCCTCGAGTGCTGTGCTCAGCTTTGGGCCCCTCACTGCAAGAAGGACATCGAGGCCATGGAGCGTGTCCAGAGCAGGGCTACAAAGCTGGTGAAGGGCCTGGAGCACAAGGCCTGTGAGGAGCGGCTGAGGGAGCTGGGGGTGTTTGGGCTGGAGAAGAGGAGGCTCAGGGGAGACCTCATTGCTCTCTGCAGCTACCTGAAAGGAAGGTGTGAGGAGCTGGGGGTCAGCCTCCTCCCACAAATAACTTCAAAAAGTTCTTTTCCACAGATTGAGTAAAAGTAGTACTGTGAGGGAGCAAATGCTGCATATTCTACCTGCAAATTTGAATCCTTAGCACAGTGAGATGCTGAGGCACTAGCAGCTTGTAAATGACTGTGACCTGCTGTCTTCCCTTTCTGGAAAGACTTTGGTGATGCACATAATTGGAGATGGTTGTGAGTATCTCGGTCAGAGAGAACAGAATGTTAGGATAGGATCCACTTATGTAATTTGACATGTCAAATGATGGTGGGTGTAATAGAGATGTCCAGGCTGTCTTCATTGTCAGAGGAAAGAAACAGGTACTCCTAGAACGTGATTAATTTTAGGATGAATGTCCAAAATGGATCATGTGAATTGCACTTAGAAGTCTCTTTGTAGATACCCAGAATTGTCAGCTGAATCATAGTCCTAAACAAAGTCACCACTTAGGGTGCTGCTTAAAAACATGTTGAGGCTATTGGTCAGCCTGATGTTGACCGGGATTTGACTTAGAGTAGGGTGTATGTGGTAGTGAAATAACATGGTGAACCAGCTGCCCTAAAGTTCCTTGAAACTCTTGAATGTAAGTGTGGACAGAAGCTGTTGTGGTCATGGTGCTGGTGCTGAAGAACTTCCTGCTGGTGAACAGTTGCATGTTTGTATTCTAGTGCTGGATCTGTGGGCTTCTTCCAGTATCACAGGCACAGTGCACTGGCAGGTACTGAACTGCACTGCGAGGCATCGGTGTGCTTGCCACTCTCCCTGCCTCGCTGGCTCTTCCTTCTCTCACTGAGGGGCCCGCTCCAGCAACTTTACTTTATCATACTTATTCTTAGAAAGTTGCCAGAGAGCACTCTATTTTTCTCTCCTTTCTTTTATTCCAAAGTGTTTATGGATTTCTGAGGAATCACAGGCTGCACTACTATGAGTTGATGATAAGTAGCTGTATGTCCCTGTGTTCAGCTGAATTGAATGGAGTTTCAGTGTTTACAAGTGTTTCTGCCTATGCTTGGTATTTTAGAAGATAGGTGGAGATAATTTGCACGTGATGTCCACATTTCTTACTAACATGTATTTCCTCTGTCTTGCAAATGATGATAATAATGCTATTCTCCATCCTTTTGTGGCTAGGGATTACAGAAGTGGTACTGTTCTCATCCCTGGTTTATGTTGCTGGAGCAGGCTGTCATAAGCTAGAGCAGAGTGCAAAGACATGCTAGGGGCAAAGGTTGTTTGTACTTCAGGGTTTTTGTTGGCTATGAAGTTTTGTTGGTAGGGTGGTATTGGGTTTTGAGTCCATAAAGCCTTAAGAGATCAATATTTTTGTCTGCTTACACACCGCTTTCACCATATAGCATCATGTACACAACTTCAGTTAGTTAAGGCACTCAATTACAATTCCTGCTTCATAAAGGAGATGGCTACAAAAAATATTTTCCATGAAGAATCCTTGATTTTGTAGTCTAAATATGGCAGCTCAGAGTGCATGTCGGAACTTTCTTGGTTTTCCAAGAGCAGGAGAAGGGGGAAGAAAGGTATAAATTGGCTGTATGGAGCAATGCAAATGCTTTTGGTATCACTGGTTACTCGTGGCTTGTCATTGTAGGTGTTTACGTAATAGATGATCCGATGCAGAGTAGGATTTAGCTTCCATGCCCTTCGTTAGCAGTTCTGTTCTCACTGTCAAAAGTGGGCACCGTTGTGGACTTCCTTCAGTAACTGCACAGCTGTATTCTCCCCAACCTGTATAACTCAGTAAAAGGGCAGGAATCCCAAACCACAGGTACAAATGTGACCTGTACTACTCTTCATGCATGCTTTCTGTTTGTTTTTTTTCTTTTTAAAACTGCTTTTTCACTCAAACACTCAGAGTAATTATCACATTTCTAGGTTTGTGACTGTGCTTAGGTATTAATTCAGTAGCATTAGCTGGATCAGGTTTGATGAAAATGTAAAAAATAAAATTATAATGAAAATAAATTCATATTTTGTTCACTGACTCTTAATGTATTTGCGTATCCATTGAGCAGAAGTGGTAACATTAAAAGCTACAGAATGTCACATGACAGAGTCCACCCAGTAAGCTTTTTTTGCAAAGAATCTTTCATATCTTTCCAAATAATTCAAAACACATTTTTTTACACTGCTAGTAAGAAGAAAACCCTTGGATTATTAGAATCAAGTGAACATCACAGAAATCACTACTGAGATACTGACTTTCTCATGCTTTACATGATCTGTCTGTGTAAACAAGGGACTTTCTGCATCGTAGCGTATTCGTTTCTTGGTTAGACTG